TATAGCTTGCATGTTTCTAATAAAGCACCAGCCAACACTGTAATTACGTTTCAAACAGAGACAGCTACCTCACAGAAAGCAATGAGGAAAACAATTCAATTTTTAAAATGGGAAAGGACTTGAACAGTCAATTCACAAGAAAAGAAATAATAAATAGCCAATAAATATGTGTAAAGTTGTTGAATCTCATTCTTCAAAAAAGTAAATGAAAAACAATAAGATACAATTTTGAGAGTTTTTTTGTGCCATATTGAGATTAAAATATTTGATAATACTTAATGCTTGAAAATGATTAGGAAGAGTAGAGGGGAAAACTGGCAACACTGTACCCTGTTGAGAAAAGAAATTGGCACTATATTCTGAGAGGGAAATGGCACATGTTCCATAAAAATTGAAATGCACATAATCTTATACCTAGCTAGTCTACTTTTAAGAAGTTATTCTACAACTTGACATATAAGAATTATCATTACAGTATTATTTGTAAGAGTGAAAAACTGGATATAACAAACATCCATCAATACAGAACAGGTTTAACATATCAAGACACATTTATAGGCATGAAAACTGAAGTTGCAGAGCCATGTGGATGGCATGACCCCATCTGTGCTAAACACTCATAACAGGTACTTATGCTCATTGTATGGATGGAAAACACTCAGAATACATCAACTTAACACCAATTATTTATGAAAACTGGGATTAGTGAAGCCAGGAGTTGACCTTATCTTTTTACTTATATACTATTTAATTTTTTACAAGGAGGCTGTATTTGATTTTACAGTAAATGTTTTTTTAAAAATCCTTCTATAATTGAAGAAAAAAAATTCTACATTCCTTTATAAAGATTATTACTTTAACAAACTGCATACATATAAAACTAAAATATATCTATTAGGTAAACTACCAGGTAATATTTTAGGTTTATTCTTTCAAATAATAGTGGGTAGTTAGTAGTTTTTCCAATAAAATATAATACTAGAAATCTGTTCCATTACTCATTAAACTTGATGTAAAGTATTCATGTGCTACACAAGAGCCCCAATAGTCCAGCAAACACCATTAAAAAAAATTAAACACCTCACCTCTTCTACTCTGCACTGAAGCAACAGGAAAGAAAAGAGATAGGAAGCAGATTAGGAACATAAAAGATTCACACATTGGAAAGAAACTGCAGATCTGAAAGCATTTCTAAGTTAAAGAATAAAAAATATTGCACAGAACATATCTTTGAAGTCTTCATGAATCATCATACTAGATTCTACACAAGTAGCAGAAGGAATAAATGTTAAATAGTACTGACAGAGCAATTTTGCTAAATCTGATGTATTTTATTTCCATTGAAGAGAAAAACTTCCCAGACAAGTTTGTGAGACTACTTACTAATCTGATTCAAAGTTTCCTGAGGAATCCAACTCATGTCAACATCATTCTGACTTGATGTACCCATTTCTACTTTCTGTATGGGTCTCTTGCGCTAAGGGAACATAAAAACATATTTTAAAAGCATTCCATTACATTGTTTACTCTACTTTTTAAAACTCCTATATCAAGCTACTTCATTTAAATATCTTAGACAAATTATGTTATCTCCTACTTTTACTTATTTATTTTTTGGCAGCTGGCCAGTAGGAGGATCCAAACCCTTGACCTTGGTGTTATCAGCACCACGTTCTAACCAAGTGAGCTAATTGGCCAGACCCTTTCCTTCTTTTAAAACATACTCCTACTTAAACATTTTATTAGCTAGAAGGGGAAAATCCTGTCTAGCACTAACTGTAAAGAATAAATGATAAAGAATAAATCTTCACAAGTTATTTATTTTCAGGTTTTAAAGACCTTCACATGCTATTACACCAACTGGAGGATCAAACAAGAATGTCTATTTAAGCAATGATTTTTTTTCTCTTTGGGAATCAAATCACAATCAAAGAATTAAATAGCACAGGAAAAATAAAACAAAAAACATAAGTCTCACTTAAGCTAACAACCTCAATTTAATCTAAGAAACTCAAACTTTCTCCCTAAAGTATTTGCAGCAAAACTGCTAGAAAGTAAAAGTGACTCAATTCCATTCTTTAGCCTTGCTCTTAAAACAAACCAAAAAACCGGGTCAACTGCTTGGAAGGCGGCTATGTTCACCACTACACCACCAACGCGCCATATGTATGTATGAAAGTATAGCAAATTCAAGGTCTCATCTTAAAAAGGTAAAACAAAGCTGTAAGTATACAAACTCACAGTGACAGTAAGAAGCCACAAAGAACTAGACTATGTTTAAATCAGCACATGGTAACAACTTTTGAAATATGGCTATAAGAGGTGTTCATCTATAATTACCTTTCTAGATTCTAGGAGTTGATGAAGGCCAACAACAACCAGAAGCCCAAGACCAGCAAGGAACATATACATAAAGATTCTGGCATAAAAGGAGAAAATATAAACTGGCTTT